CATAAGTTGGGGTCTGTGTTGCTTAGTATATCTTCCCAGCTTATATCGGTTAGGACTTGGTTTACTTGGTCCCACTTTATGTTTTTGTTATTGAAGTTGAATTTGGTGAATGCTCCCTTAATTTAAAGATGATTCTTAATTTAATTTAAAGGGATTCTTGATTAATAATATTTCTACAAGTACATGATATGACTGATGCAGACCTGGCTGACATCACTGGCATACTATATAGAAAACCCATGGTCATGCAAAACATTTCGGGCAACTTTGTTCTCCGGATTGTGACCCACAATAGTCAGCTAACATCCAGGTACCTAGTTACTGCTAGACGAACAGGGGCAGCAGGTGTAAGGAAACATACACAACGTTTCACCCGTGCCGGGGATCGATCCCGGACCCCTTGGTGTGTGAGCTGAGGATACTACCAAGTCACGAGTACCCTTTCAGATTCAAAATCAGTTTTTTATTTCTTTTCATGCGATACAAAAATAACGTAGTTTACATTCAAATTCAAATTCAAAGTTTATTCTCTATAAGGATTACAATGCTGAGTTTACAGAAATTTGGTCATTGTTTGGTTTACATGTAGTAAAATTGAGATTACAGAGTGTACCACTAGAACGCTTAGCATGGCTAGGCATTTCGGGCATACTTAGTTTTATTCTTAATTGTAAAATATTACAAATTATGAGGTAAGTTGGTATTATGGCTAAGTGACTAAATACTAGTTTGTGAGTTTTGCAATGTGAATGCTTTTGTTTTGGCACAGTACATAGTTTCAGTATTGGAGTATCACAGGATTCATTAAGACATCAATAAGACATCGTTAGGCACAAAAGAAAGCCACTGGTATGCCGGAAAAATAATCCCCCCCCCCAGTACCAACAATACCACCAGTCCGATGACATTCTTCTTTGCAAATATACAGGGTCTAAAGCCAGCAACAAACAAAATACCTTTCATCCGTGGACTGCTTGCAGAGGCAAAGGCAATGTTCGCGGCTTTCACTGAGACCCACATAAAGGATCACTTGGACAACGAAATATGGATCGAAATATAAACACATATGCAGTATAATGTGATACTTTATTGACTACGTTTCGCCCACACAGTGGGCTTTTTCAAGTCACAAACAGAACTACCTGGGGTGGGAGGAACGCGAGTATTTATAGTCAGGTTCAGAATGCTGAGGTCAGGTGGAGAATGCTGCATCTGACTTCCTTTGTAGCATTGTTTAAGTCGTCTGCACACTCTTCAAGGTAGGTCCGAGCTGTAGCGGAGAAAGGTGGTTTGATGTTGGCAATTTGAGGAGGAGTAGATCTTGGTAAGACCATTTCTTCGATGCAATCACGAAGAAAATTGTGTCTGTTGCGAAGTGAGTAAGCTTTTAGAAGAAGGTCCAGGTATTCTCTGTGTGAAGGATCCATTTCTACTGCAGTGTTTGACACGATGGAAATAAATGGTATAAAATACCGACACAATGGAAATATAAACACATATGCAGTATAATGCAGCATTCTCCACCTGACCTCAGCATTCTGAACCTGACTATAAATACTCGCGTTCCTCCCACCCCAGGTAGTTCTGTTTGTGACTTGAAAAAGCCCACTGTGTGGGCGAAACGTAGTCAATAAAGGATCACATTACACTGCATATGTGTTTATATTTCCATTGTGTCGGTATTTTATACCATTTATTTCCACCGAAATATGGATCCCAGGTTACAACCTATACAGATGTGACAGAATGAACAGGCAAAAGGGAGGGGGGGTTGGCCTGTACATTGCAGAGTCACTTGTTTGCACAGAACTGCTTAATGCCTCAAATGATGTAGTGGAAGTTTTAGCAGTAAAGATCGAGAACCAAAACCTAGTCATTGTGGTAGTCTACAAGCCTCCGGATGCAACATCCCAGCAATTCCAGGAACAGCTGTTAAAAATTGACCACTGTCTGGAAAAAATTCCAGCTCCTGCACCCAACATCTTGCTCCTGGGGGATTTCAACTTAAGGCACCTAAAATGGAGGAATATAGCAAATAATATTGTTGCAGTAATAACACCAGGAGGCAGCCCTGATGAAAACTCACACACACACACGAGCTTTTAAATCTCTGCACAAAATTCAATTTAAACCAGCAAATAATAGAGCCTACTAGACTGGAGAATACACTAGACCTCATCTTCACTAACAATGATGATCTGATAAGAAATGTCACCATATCAAAAACAATATACTCAGATCACAACATAATTGAGGTTCAGACATGTATGCGCGGAGCCCCAGACCGACATAATGAGATTAGTCACGAGGGTGCATTCACCAAATTCAACTTCAATAACAAAAACATAAAGTGGGACCAAGTAAACCAAGTCCTAACCGATATAAGCTGGGAAGATATACTAAGCAACACAGACCCAAACTTATGCCTAGAACAGATTAACTTGGTGGCACTCGATGTATGCACAAGGCTTATTCCTCTAAGAAAAAGGAGGAGTAGATGTAAAATATAAAGAGACAAGCGCTCCCTTTACAGGCGACGGAAAAGAATAACAGAGCGGCTAAAAGAGGTCAATATATCTGAAATGCGTAGGAAGACACTGGTCAGAGAAATAGCAAGCATCGAACTTAAGCTAAAGGAATCTTATAGGAGTCAGGAATCGCGGGAAGAACTAAAAGCCATAAATGAAATCGAAAGAAACCCAAAGAATTTCTTCTCCTATGCCAAATCAAAGTCGAGAACAACGTCCAGTATTGGGCCCCTACTTAAACAAGATGGGTCCTACACAGATGACAGCAAGGAAATGAGTGAGCTACTCAAGTCCCAATATGACTCACAGTTTAGCAAGCCGCTAACCAGACTGAGAGTCGAAGATCAAAATGAATTTTTTATGAGAGAGCCACAGAATTTGGTTAACACAAACCTATCCGATGTTATCCTGACGCCAAATGACTTCGAACAGGCGATAAATGACATGCCCATGCACTCTGCCCCAGGGCCAGACTCATGGAACTCCGTGTTCATCAAGAACTGCAAGAAGCCCCTATCACGAGCCTTTACCATCCTATGGAGAGGGAGCATGGACACGGGGGTCGTCCCACAGTTACTAAAAACAACAGACATAGCCCCACTCCACAAAGGGGGCAGTAAAGCAACAGCAAAGAACTACAGACCGATAGCACTAACATCCCATATCATAAAAATCTTTGAAAGGGTCCTAAGAAGCAAGATCACCACCCATCTAGAAACCCATCAGTTACACAACCCAGGGCAACATGGGTTTAGAACAGGTCGCTCCTGTCTGTCTCAACTATTGGATCACTACGACAAGGTCCTAGATGCACTAGAAGACAAAAAGAATGCAGATGTAATATATACAGACTTTGCAAAAGCCTTCGACAAGTGTGACCATGGCGTAATAGCGCACAAAATGCGTGCTAAAGGAATAACAGGAAAAGTCGGTCGATGGATCTATAATTTCCTCACTAACAGAACACAAAGAGTAGTAGTCAACAGAGTAAAGTCCGAGGCAGCTACGGTGAAAAGCTCTGTTCCACAAGGCACAGTACTCGCTTCCATCTTGTTCCTCATCCTCATATCCAACATAGACAAGGATGTCAGCCACAGCACCGTGTCTTCCTTTGTGGTTGACACCCGAATCTGCATGACAGCGTCTTCCATTGCAGACACTGCAAGGCTCCAGGCGGACATCAACCAAATCTTTCAGTGGGCTGCAGAAAACAATATGAAGTTCAACGATGAGAAATTTCAATTACTCAGATATGGTAAACATGAGGAAATTAAATCTTCATCAGAGTACAAAACAAATTCTGGCCACAAAATAGAGCGAAACACCAACGTCAAAGACCTGGGAGAGATCATGTCGGAGGATCTCACCTTCAAGGACCATAACATTGTATCAATCGCATCTGCTAGAAAAATGACAGGATGGATAATGAGAACCTTCAAAACTAGGGAGGCCAAGCCCATGATGACACTCTTCAGGTCACTTGTTCTATCTAGGCTGGAATATTGCTGCACACTAACAGCACCTTTCAAGGCAGGTGAAATTGCTGACCTAGAAAATGTACAGAGAACCTTCACGGCGCGCATAACGGAGATAAAACACCTCAATTACTGGGAGCGCTTGAGGTTCCTAAAACTGTATTCCCTGGAACGCAGGCGGGAGAGATACATGATTATATACACCTGGAAAATCCTAGAGGGACTAGTACCGAACTTGCACACGAAAATCACTCACTACGAAAGCAAAAGACTTGGCAGACGATGCAACATCCCCCAATGAAAAGCAGGGGTGTCACTAGCACGTTAAGAGACCATACAATAAGTGTCAGGGGCCCGAGACTGTTCAACTGCCTCCCAGCACACATAAGGGGGATTACCAACAGACCCCTGGCAGTCTTCAAGCTGGCGCTGGACAAGCACCTAAAGTCGGTTCCTGACCAGTCGGGCTGTGGCTCGTACGTTGGTTTGCGTGCAGCCAGCAGTAACAGCCTGGTTGATCAGGCTCTGATCCACCAGGAGGCCTGGTCACAGACCGGGCCGCGGGGGCGTTGACCCCCAGAACTCTCTCCAGGTAATTTCGGGTAAGAATGCCTCGCTTTCCCCAGGCGTTATATGAATCCTATGGGTTTAACGCTTCCCCTTAATATAAAAAATATCCAGCGGAGATTTAGCCAATATTTATATACCTCGAACTAAGTAACTTTGTTCAGGCACAGGTACACCTAAGTACAATTATCATACATAGTGTAAAATTACCTAGGATAACCCCATAAATCAAAGTGACTTATTTCCATTGGGCCGCTTGGGCATTATTATTATTATATTTAGGGGAAAAGGGCTCAACCCGTAGGGGTCATACAGCACAATTTCTTGGATCAAGAGCCCTTCACCGGCGTCAAGATAGGGCTCAACACGGTGTCAGTTCTGGTGACTCTATAAATCCCCAACAAAGCAGCTTACGACAGTAAGGCTTCATTCATACTCATTACACTGGTTTTAGATTTTACAATTGTCTTATATAGTTAATTACGTATAAATTACATCCTATAAGTAAAGTTTATTTAGGCACAGGTACACATTAGTACAGTTATCGTATATAGTGTAAACTACCTAGGATAAACCAGAAACAAGTCAAAAGAAACCTGGAACCTCTAAACAAACCACGGTTGCTGAAGAACAGAGGAGGAAACCTCTAAGTAAATTGACCCCTCAAGGGAAGGTTCTTGACGCTGGTGAGGGGCTCTTGATCTAGGGAATTGGATCTGTGCTTCGGTTCTCTGAATTGAGCCTGAATACCTTCCATACCCCTCACATGAGCTGTATAATCCTACGGGTTTAGCACTCCCCATGATTATAATAATAATAATAATCTAAGAAAATTGAACATATAAAAAATAGGCAGTAAGTTTTTGGGCTTCAGCGTCGATCTTAGTGAGCTGATGTAAATAAGTTTATTTAGGTACAGGTGTACATAATTACAGTAATCATATATAGTATATAGTGACATAGGTTTAAATAATAAGATATTACAAGGATCCCAGTGGAAATAAGTCACTTTGACTTTTTGGGTTATCCTAGGTAATTTACACATATGTTAATATGTAAGTAAGTTTATTCAGGTATACACACAGTTACATAGATTATCATACATAGCAGCATGTGTAGTGAACCTAGGATAACCCAAAAAAAAGTCAGACGAAGTGGCTCATTTCCATTGGGGTCCTTGTATGTATGATAATATGTGTATCTGTATTTATGTGTACCTGCAAAACAAACTTAGTTACCTAAGAGGCATCAATCATATTCCGCTCAGCAGATATTCTACAGTTTGAAGAGAGACCAGTTACTGACTTGACAGGCAGGTGTGTGGACCCTCCACTTTGTCTGGGCTTAGACAAGGTGCACCTGTCCTTAGTGGGAATTTTTTGCCATGTTTTAATTTTTTAAGAGAACTCCTGTTCCTTTTCATTTCATTACCCAACTTAGGGGATTATTTTTTCCTCAGACACTGTGAAGGAAGGTTCAGTATGGCATAACTTATGATGGCCCTTTAAACTTTAAATGTGAAATAGGTTTTTATTTAGCTTTATCAATTTTACAAGCTAAAATCTGTTATCCTACCTCATTTCAAAACCCAGCCCAATCAAATCAAATCAAAGTTTATTCTCTATAAGGATTACAATGCAGGGTTTACAGATTTTGGTTATTGTGTGGTTTACATGTAATAATCTGAGATATACTGCCACCCCCAAGGATATCACCTGCACCAGTTGGCTAACACCCAGGTACTGGCTTACTGCTAGGTGAGCAGGGACGGCGGGTGTAAGGAAACATGCCCAATGTTTCCGCCCGCACCAGGGATCAAACCACGGACACTCAGTATGTGGGATAAGTGTGCTACCAACTACTGGTCTTGTATAGTAACTCGTATAGCAATTAACCTAGGATACAAATACAGAAAAAGAAGTCATTATTTCAAAATCACTGTACCAACAAAACATAGTAATCTGCAAGCCCATGGAATGCACAGCATTTCAGGCAAAACCTAGATTATACTTATAATCTAATGGTTTTATTTTTTATTTCTTAAGGATGTACAAATCAATATAGTCAAACACTTCGAGAATCCCAGTGGATCCTTGATGAACCCGCAACAAGAACAGACAAGAAGATTCGCTTTACTCTGAATGTTGGTGACAAATTCTTCATATTACTCTTGAAATTATTGCTTTGTTGCCTGAGCAGCTAGTGTATTGTTCTCATCCTTTAAAATATTTTGCAAATTTTAAACTGAACTGTTTTAATTGCAGTACCTGTCAGTGAAGCAAGCCTAGAATATTACTTTTTTAAAATATTGGTAAACAGTATGCCATTTTCCATTTGTCATCTAATTTACCACCTTGGTAATTTGGACATTTTAGCCATCTTTTTAAACCATCTTTTAATTAGGGCTTGTAAGCTTATGCTGTTGTCTACTAATTTATCTTCTTGTACATTAGTGAAATCCTGTACAATTTCTGAAATGGATAGCTTAGTTTTATACTTTTATAAACTCTATAGTGCTTTTGTATATGGTCCAATTATTATTTTACTGTTATCTTCCAATAGTATAGTAGCTTCTGTGTTTCCACTTTAGGGATTTAAATCTTCTTCATTTCAGTTGGCTGTTTAGGGTTCAACGCTACATCATCTAATGTAAACACACAGCAACTTCTTAGTAAAACTCTTGACTTAATAAAACTTGATTTAATGGACTTCAGAAAAAATTTTTTTTATTATTATTAACACACTGGCTGATTCCCACCAAGGCAGGGTGGCCCAAAAAAGAAAAACTTTCACCATTATTCACTCCATCACTGTCTTGCCAGAAGGGTGCTTTACACTACAGTTTTTAAACTGCAACATTAACACCCCTCCTTCAGAGTGCAGGCACTGTACTTCCCATCTCCAGGACTCAAGTCGGCCTGCCGGTTTCCCTGAATCCCTTCATAAATGTTACTTTGCTCACGCTCCAACAGCACATCAAGTATTAAAATATATAGGACAAAATCCACTGTGTGACATAGTCACACTAGTGTGACTTGTAGGACCATCCTCCCTTGATGCACCTCATAACTGCAGAAGGTTGCCAGAAATCCTCAAGAGGGTAAACAAGAGATTTTCTTATCCTCTACAGAGCCATCCATATTGTATATAACTAGTGGTAAAGAAGGTCATATGAAACAAATGAAAAGATGTCTACTCTTGGCACTCTTAAGTAAGATACTTTATTTCAGCATGATACATTGTGTGTACAGAGGTGAATGACATTTAGGTGTGCATGCAGAAAGCCCCCTACAAGTCACACTAGTGTGACTTGTAGGACCAGTTGACAAGTCACACCAGTGTGAATTGTCAATGGTCCAAGTTGGACCGAAACATTGTCATATGGGGTTATTTGTGTATTGTTCCAGTCACAGTATTGTACATTTTTGTTCTTCTAAAATTATATTTTGTTACTTTAGAGTTACTGAACTGTAATTTCTTGGGTGGAGAATGTGAGTGTAGCAGATATTTTCCACAGTACTTTTACATCAGCTAATATACACTACAGATATTTCCAGGGTTAGACTTTGATATGAATTGTGGTAGGATAAGATAGCTTAAATTTGGAGGTTAATTTTCATCCTCTTTATTTTCAGGTTAATGATGAATGTTAAGCCTATACTGCAGTTAATTGTGAAATGCACTAGGGATGCAGGGCTTCACACTTGTGCACCACTTCAACAAATACAGAAATTAACAAGGCTGCGAGTTATAGATAACAGTGAACTTGGGAAGTCGGCAATGTTGGAAGGTCGGCCACCAAAATGTATTCACATCTATAGCAAGATAAGATTTGGCTATACAGGTAGGGGAAGCTTATTTCTGAGGTACAGTAAATCGTTTTAGCTGATGACCTATTTCAGTTTCTCCAAAATATTGATTGTTACCACACTTGAAAATATAGCACCTTATTCATTATCAGGTATTTATTATAACTAGATAATATGTGTGATAATATGTAGATAATATGTATGATAATATGTGTGATAATATGTAGATAATATGTATGATAATATATGTGATAATATGTAGATAATATGTGTGAAAAACCTAATGGTGCAATTTTAAGAAGCAGTGTTGGTTGGCTATGCCATTGATAGGATGGATAATGAGAACCTTCAAAACTAGGAATGCCAAGCCAATGACAATTCTCTTCAAATTGCTTGTTCTCTCTAGACTGGAATACTGCTGTACTTGAACTGCCTCCTTCAAGGCAGGCAAAATTACTGACCTGGAGAGTGTACAAAGAACTTTCACAACGCACATAAGTACGATAAGGCACCTAAATTACTGGGAACGGTTGAAGTCCCTTGATTTGTATTCCCTGGAACGCAGGCGAGAGAGATACATGATAATATACGGTTAGAAAATCGTAGAGGGATTAGTACCAAACTTGCACACGAAAATCACTCCCAATGAAAGCAAAAGACTCGGCAGGAGATGCAACATTCCCCCAATGAGTACACTGAGTATGAATACACTGAGAGACAACACAATAAGTGTCAGGGGCCCAAGACTGTTCAGCTGCCTCCCAGCATACATTAGGGGGATTACCAATAGACCCCTGGTTTTCTTGTGTTGTTGGGTTCAGAAATTAAATGCATATGGTGTGAATATACATTATTTTTATCACACATATTCAGGTGATGCGTTAAACCTGTAGAGATCACAAAGTGCCTGGGAAATGGGAGGCAATCAGGTTTGATACAAGGAAGGGGAGGACAAGTCTAATGCCTTGAGTCAAGGGCCCCTCATCAGTTTCAAGGAACCTCCATTGAGGGAGGAGGGTGTAAATATACAATGCAGTGTGGTAATAATACAGTATAATCATTTTATGCACTAAATCCATTTGGGTCATACAGTGCTGTGGGTAGGGGTTTTCAAGGTGATAGGGGTTAATGGAGATGAGGTTAATGCAAGTGTAAGATTGAAGTCATAGTTGGTAGAATAGGTTAATTCCATTAAAGTCAGAGAGTGAGTTTGCATCAAAAGTGGGACTTTCAGCAAGGAAGTCAGTGAATGTGTTAGGGCAATGTAGATGTTGGATGTGAATCCTGATAGAGAGGACACTATTAAGATAGGGCAAACTAACAATGCAACATGGCAGTCCTTGCAGAGTAGTGCCATTTGTTTCTACATGTGGTTAACTATGGTTAAGTATCCTCTCAAGGGTATTGATTTACATTTCCTGTGGCTTTTTAGGGTAATTATTATTATTATCATGGGGGAGTGCTAAACCTGTAGGGAATATACAGCACTTGTGGGGGGGGGAGGGATGGAAGGCAGTCAGGCTTAATTTGGGGAATTGGAGCAGATTCAATTCCCGAGATCAAGAGCCCCTCACCAGCATCAAGGAATCTCCCTTCAGGGTTTTAGGGTAATGACCTATATTATTATAATAAAAAATGAAGCACTAAACCTACAAGGGTCATACAGTGCAGTAATGATCTATAGCTCCTGACCCTTTTGAGGATATTAAGCTACATATCATTGTATGACTTCAGATTTGGCACTTTTTTCAGAATACAGTGTAATAACACTGAAGTAATAAGAAACTGCAGGTGCTAGGCTTCTTGAATGTTGAGGTAAAGCATCGAGAGCAGGGGTGTGTCACACTTGTGGGTTTAGTGCCTAGTTTCAGTTGTAATAATAAAGCACCTGGACTTCTCATGGGTGTTGATCTCCAGCACCTGGACCTCATGAAGGGCTCCTTAGCATTATAATGGAATTAAGCTGTAATTCCTCTGCCTCTTGAGGGTATTGAAACAGCTATTAAGACTTGTATGCATTGATCTACAAAGGGCTGTGGTTTTTGTGATATGGAGAATATACCTCATGGACCATGCAGCATTATTAACCCTTTCAGGGTCCGTGCCGTAGATCTACGGCTTTATGTTCAGGGTCCAAACCGTAGAGCTATGCCATGAGCTCAGCTCACTCTGATAAGCTGTGAGCAGTAAATTTGGGCCTAGATATGAGAGAATACATCTATATGGTATGTGTGCACCACATAAATCAAATCCTGCAGCACAGGACTGAGACCGTAATTTTCGATTAAAACAGCGAATTTGCAGTGTTTTTTCGTATGTTTTTTATAGTTGTATTTGCAATTTCTTGGTCTCATTTGATAGAATGGAAGATATACTACAGAAATAGAGATGATTTTGATTGGTTTTGATACTGGAAATGGCTTGAAACTGAGCTCTAAGTAGCAGAAATGTTAAATTTTTGCCGATATTCAAGAGTAAACAAATGACCTCACAAGTCTAATACATGACACCTGGTGGGTATAATATACATTCACAAATGTGGTGATATTATTTATACAATTATTACAGTATTGCATAACAGTAACTCTTCTATTTTTTGGTTTGAATAAAAATTCATTATGTGAATAAAAAATCAAAATGGAATTCATTTGTAAAGCCTGAAAACTTTACTGATGAACAGAGGAAATGTTAGTTTAGTGCCAGGAATGCCTGCATTGTTTATTCTGAACCCTGTTTTGAAATTGGAATATTTTGAACTTTGCATTAAATTGGCCAAATTACCAATTTCCGGTCACTTTATTTTGTTGTTGAAACAGTTGACTTGGTGATTTCTTGTGCTCAATCGATAGAATAAAAGTAATACTAGTGAAATAGCAAAGAATTTGGTTGACTGGATTACTGTAATTGTCCTAAAACGGGAGTCAAAGTTGGCAAAATCGCTGATGCGTAAATATTGCCGACACATCAAAATTTGTGAGAGCATAATTTTGTCAATTTTCCATCAAATTTCGTACTTTTTGTTTTATTGCCTTGAGAAAAAGATTCTCTACCATTTCATAAGAAAAAATAACAAAATTATTTTTTGAAAATTCTTGGACCCTGGTGCACACTTTGAAATTTGGCCTCTGGACCCTGAAAGGGTTAAATTACATTGAGCTATGTTTTCATTGTTACACAAAAGACTAAAACAAGTGAAACCCAACTACTAGGAAAAGGGATGCGGGAAAGTGGAAAATTACTGGATAACAATACATAGGAATGGTAATATGGCCAGGTCTGAAAGATAAGTGTAAACAGAGAGATTGACTCCTTTTACTGCCACTGTCAAGGGGGGAATTGTTTTGATGCTGGTGAAGAGCTCTTGATACAAGGAATTGTAGCTGCCCTTTCCTTCCTTGGATGAGATCTGATTACTTCCCATTCCTCCCTATGGATTTAGCACTTCCCCAAGAATATAATACTGTATGTAATCCTTGTTACTACTTAGAATGTGAATCCATTTTAGAGATCTTTCTTGTACAAGTTCCAGTTGTCCATATAATGAGAAAACAGGTAGGAGAAAGATAAATTTCTGGGATATATTTCATAGCTATGTATGAAAATGTGAAAAAAAATAACATGTCTGTAGTATGTTATGTGAAATATAAAAAAAAAGTAGGAAATGAGAAAATGCCAGATATTCTGGGGGTGCCAAGTATGAATACTGATAGGGTGGGACATCCACTTTGGATTATTATAATAAAAAGAAGTGCTAAACCCACAAGGGTCATACAGCACTGCCATCCACTTTGGAGAGGAATATTTTTTCTTATTATTTTTATATCCTAAGACTTGGGAAAATACTTCAAGCATTTTTTATGTCTTTTAGTCTCTTCTCAAAAATCACTTACTCACCCACAATTGTATCTCATATGTGTCTCATTATTGTATCTCATAAATGTCAACCTGTGACCCAATCAAACTTTGTTACTATTTAACTTCATTACCTAACAGAATACTCCATTCTACTGATTACACAGCAACACAGTAAATGACCATATGACCTGTCTTTGTAATACTCATTTGTACTAAATTGTTATCTGTTTTAGAACAATTTTTGTACCACTGAATATATCATTGCTTAGTTAATCTTAAGTTAATTTTAAGCCTGCCCATAATGCTCTGCTAACAAGGGGCTTTGGCATGTTGCACTTTAAAAATTGTATTCCTTGTACTTCTCTGTATCATGTTCAAATTAAATAAATAAATAAATACTGATTGTACAGCAATGCATGCAACCATACGACCTGTTTTTGTAATACTCATTTGTGCTTAATTGTTATCTGTTTACAATGTTTTACCACTGAATACTTCATTGCTTAGTTAATCTTAAGTTAATTTTAAGCCTGCCCGTAATGCTATGCATTCAAGTGGCTTTGGCATGCTGCATTTAACTGTATTCTTTTGTACTTCTCTGTATCATGTTCAAATTAATAAATAAATAAATTGCATCTTTTAGAAATTTTGTTTGGACAATCTAATTAGGTTAGTAAATGCTTGGATCGTGCCCTAGACTTCATAATCATTTGATCTCAAACTTTTGGTGAGCAGTGTTTTTTTTTTTTTTTTTTTTTTTTTTTTTAGTGAGCTGTGTATATTGGAGTGATGTTTATTTAATGGAAAAAAGCCTTATCTCTTTATGTACAACTTTCATTTGCTAAGGCCATTGAATATCTTATAATGGTACTGTATGTCCTAAATGCTGAAATAAGAGTATTTTTTTTTTTATTAACACACTGGCCGATTCCCACCAAGGCGGGGTGGCCCGAAAAAGAAAAACTTTCACCATCATTCACTCCATCACTGTCTTGCCAGAAGGGTGCTTTACACTACAGTTTTTAAATTGCAACATTAACAGTAATGCATATAATTTAATGCATTTTTAATAGAAGCATGCTTAATTATCCATTGGAAAACAAAAGTTGCTCTTTCTTACCTCATTTTCTTTCTGCCCATTACATTTTTCTTTGTTCTATCTTACTCGGATCCTTTCCTTCCCTATTTTGCCATTGATCTTAAAGGCTCAACAAAAAAATATATCTAATTAATTTCATACAAACATTGTATTTGAATTTTAATAGTGTTGAGTAACCAGTAAGTCCTGGTGCCTTTCAGTTCTTATGAATCAATTCATTATGACAAATTTAATACTGAAGATTGAAAAACAGGTGCATAGCTTTGTTCCTGTACAGGTGCTATATGACCCTTTGAGGTTTAGTGCTTCTGTAACATCAAAAAAGTATTGTAATCACAGATTTAGTTAAGCACACACATAATTGATTTAATATTCACTCCAACTTTCATTTTTCACCAGGTGACAAAGTGTTGGTTGCCATCAAAGGTCAGAAGAAGAAGGCCATACTCACAGGATGCCATAGAAACAAACCCAACTCATGCCCAAGTTTGACAGTAATAACATTGTTTTAATTGATGATAATGGGTCACCACTTGGTACCAGGATACTTTTTCCCATTCCAACCATGCTTCGTCACAAACTTGTAGAAATGTCACGGCCAAAAGGAGCTGATTATACAAAAATTTTGGCAATTGCCACCAGGTTTGTGTAACAAGCATATTTGTAACCATACAAAATAAATTATGTACTGTACATAATTTCCAAAGTAGTCACAATGTTTCCTGATTTTTACATAGAGCACTGAAATAATGGATTAAAATATTAACATAAACTATGTATTGTAGCAAAAAGTTCATTAAAGTGTTCCAATTATTAAGATGTAAATATTTTTATCTCAGTATTATCACTTACAATGATGCTCCCATATAAAATAATTTTTATCTACAGGATTATTTTACAGCATGATTTAATGATCATAACAGCAAAATATTTTCCCAATAAGAGCATGTTTTTCAAAGTGGGTCATTTCTTCACTGTTGTTGGCAACACACCATTTGGTCCCAGACAGTACAAATTTTTATAACTAGGCATATTTAAAACCCAAATTTTTGGGGAAAATTTTAAAATTTTTGGCATTGTAAAAACAACAACCCTTTTTTTGCAGAAAATATTTGACATTGAGAAATACTTATAGTAGTTAACAAGCTAAAGAATGGAAATAATTGTATAATTTTAAATCATTTTTATTTTATTAGTTCTGCTTCAAATATCACACTAAGCAATCACTAAGATTACATTTATCTACAAAGTTGATAGAACTGGCAATAATAGTAATTATAAATTAAGAGCAAAGTAAAACAAACATTTAAAAAAATTAAAAGCTAGAAATAGAAATTACCTATGAATTGAGATACTGAGTTATTATTATAATCATAAGAAGTGTTCAACCCATTAAGGTCATAAAACAAGAAATATTGAAAATATCAAGAACTCATAGAATGTGTGACATATTTTTCCAAAGGTAGAATATATGAGCAGTATGGCTACTTACTAATGTAATTTGATGTGTTTATGACTGGGTATAAAAGACAATATGCAGAATATGATGGAAGTTTATAACTATAATTGTGGGTATGAATACAAAACATGTGGAATACATCTTTATTAGGACAATGTGCCATACATAGGCTACTGCTTTACACACAGTATATACTCCAGAAAGTTGAGGTAAGAACAGTGCAAGATAACCTGCAGAAAAAAATAAGGATTGTATGCCACAGGTTGATGTGGGTAGTGGAACAGTATTATTACAATCAAAACTAAGTGCTGAACCTACAAGGGTCATACTGCAGTGGAACAGTAGAGTTAGCCTAATGGTCCATTAGGTTTAAACTTTTGATTTTGGACTAGGTACAGTGGGCCCCCAGATATCATATTATTATTATTATTATAATAAAAAAGAAGCGCTAAACCACAAGGGCGCCCAGATATCATAGTCATCAGATTTTGTAATATTCGGTAATCATAACGTCTTTTCATCAAAATATTGGCTTGGTGATTGTCATTTAGCTCAGTAATAGTCATTCATCATGAACGTTGACGAGCGGCCCCACACACCATTCACAGTCAGTCTGCCATTGTTTATCAGCGAGTGACCGTCACCCCCCGCGTTCATACAATACATTTTATAATACTATTCCATTCTGTTTAGTGCTTGCAACTGCTAAGTAAGCCACCATGGGCCCAAAGAAAGGTCCTAGTGCCTGCCAGCCCTTTGGTAAAGGGCTAAGAGAGAGGGAAGAATGTGCCTTCTTCAGTGATTCTGCGATATGTAAGATACTAAAGCAGCAGGAGTTGACAAAGGCTATAGCCCCAGCCAGTGAAAAAGTGTAGCATTAACAGTGTAGCAAGTAAGTTAAGTGGTTAATCGACAGAAAAAGGACAGCATTAAATTGACTCCTCCAATACTGTTGGAGTTATATAGGGCGACTGACAATACCGCTGCCTCTGCTGCCGCCATCACCACCATGTAAGGCTTATCTTTCAGTGGCCCTTATACACCCAACAACAACACAACACCACTTATCACATACGTAATGACATATTTTATTCATTTTAGAGTATATATCATGTTTCTATGTTAATATTGTTTATGTCATATTAGATGAATTGTGCTAGATAAATAAGCCGTAGAGTTGATATTAGCATCATATTGAAGGACTACCTTGTCCCGACTCCAAACACACCCTGCCGCCACCCCAATTCCTAACATACACCAGAAACAGACCTCTCTGGAACACTTTTTTGAGCGACAGGGGTCCAGTGACTCTCAAACTGGTCCTAGTGGCATTAAAAACAAAGAAGGGGATTCCCCTTCCAAACAGTAATTTCTCCATCCTCTCCCCTCCTCGTGTCTTCAATAAAGGTAAGTGTCATATTGTTATTGTTTTATTCATGTCTCATTGTTTTCGGTGTAGGTAAATGTATATTTCATATAAAAAATATTTTTTTTAATACTTTTGAGTGTCTGGAACGGATTAATTGGATTTACATTATTTCTTATGGGAAAAATTAATTTGGAAATCGTCAAATTCAGCTTTAGTCACACTCTCTGGAACGGATTAATTACGATAACTAGGGATCCACTGTATTTTCTTTGTAAGATGACATGTGTCAAGGATCTTGCTAGGCTGAAAGCACCTTGGTTTTTAGTCTATAATGTGTTGTGCCAATGAGCTCTGCTTTCAGGCAATGTCTCCTTCAATAGTAAGCTTGGTGTCTTCCACACTGTAAGATATAAATGCTTTTCCCAGCGAGTGATGCACTCGTTTGTGTTGTTGGTCCTAGAAGCATTACTGGTGTTCCCGAATTCTGGTGTCTTGGCTACGTAACATTTTTGCTATACATATATTGTTTATCATGACAGGCATATGGATGTGTGTATGCACTAGCACTATTGTTATTCAGTTGTGCAAGATTTGGAAATGTCAAGAATGGTTTCTGGCATGACAACTGCTCTTAATTAATGCCACTTCTAACTACTTAAAAACAAATTGATCTCAAGACATCCCATTTTTTATTCAGCCTGTTCTTTAATAACATGAAACTAAAGAACAGTAAAAATATGGTAAAAATAATTAAAAAATAGGGAAGCAAACTGATGTAATAGGGCAATTACTCATTCTCATATTCCACCTCAGTGATTTCTTCTTGAAAATTGGATTAAACCCTCGTTGAATGCTAAGTGATGAGCACTGTGGAAGTTAATAGGCTGTATTTCATCTACATCATTGGCTCACAATGCCAACCAGCATCTCAAGCTAGTAATCTTTGTATAAATGGCTTTAAAAAGTTGACAAGTTGATAAATGAGACATTTGTGCAACACTTGGGTATCTTCATTCTGGAAACATTTTGACAGCCACTGACTTCTTCAATCCAATAGAGAAGAACAGTGGAAGATGAGTTTGAGGTAATCAGTTCCTCAGCCTGGAGTTGATGTGTTCAGTCCATCAGTCTTGATAAGAAAAGATTGATGGACTGAACACATCAGTTTCAGGCTGGGAGACTGATTACCTCAAATGCCTACTCATCTTCCACGGTTCTTCTCTGTACTGGGTTGAAGGAACCACTGGCTGGCAAAATATTTCCAGACTTAAGACAACTGCAACAGAATATACAGGCATCACATTTGATACAAATACCCTTTGATATTCCTCGTGTTTGCCTGAACCTCTTGAAACTCAATGGAAATTAAAGGGCCAGTTATTATTATTATTATAATAAAAAAAAAGTGCTAAACCACAAGGGATTAAAGGGCCAGAAATATGAAATAACTTGGCAAATGGAATAAAAAAGTGACAATGAATTAAAACAAAAGCTGTGATTAATGTATTTCCCTGAAACAATTTGTTTTCTTTTTAATTTAATCACATCTCTAAGAATTATTGCATCATTACCCCTCGAGGGAGGTGCAATGATGCCTTGCCTTCCTTGGATTAAACTTGACTGTCTCCCATCCCCAGTGCACCCCATGAAAATAATGTACAGTAATGCTCCTATATTATACATATTTCTGTATATAGTGATATATTATGCATTACATATATGTATATAGCCAAAAAATCTACTATAATGGAAATATATTCTAAAGTTCATTGTTGTATGTTTGTTAACTTCATTGTATACAATTATGAGTCACATTCAACTAACACAACAGAAATTGTACATCAATGTATTTAATTTCATATAATAAAATTCACTTTTATACAACTCAGTATAATTTGTTACTGAACAAGTTATATCGGGATAATCAATATCGACAAGGAAACCTTTGGTCAACACACACACACACATTACTATATAGTATATATGATAGTCAACCTACCTTCATTTTATAGTTCACTTCTTGTAGGATTCCCAACATGAATTTCTTAACAGTCCATGCAGTTGGAAACCATATTTTGCTTTATTTTAGGTTTGGTTGAATTAAGTTACACAAACCTATAAAACAGCACCATCAAAAACTGCTTGCCTCCCTACCCCTCTTTCCTTCCACCCCAGATACATACTCTTCATCCTATTGTGCTCCATCCTCTCTACATGTCCAAACCACCTCAGTATCCCCTCTTCTGAACTCTAAAGTAATATTTTTTGTAACTTCACACCTATATATATGTACTATCTTCTATTTTCCATGTTCTTATTTCTTTGCATAATATTCAGTTCACATATTGCTCTCAAGCAACAGTGAGGACCCCATTTTCATTTACTCCTTGCACTCCAAACTTGCCTACAACACTTTCTCCTACTTTTGAATTTGGGTCACCCACAAAAATTATTCTCTAACTTGGTTTGGAATTCCCTAAACATTCATTTTCTCAAAAAAATCTCTCCTCTACATTCCTCTCACACCTCACTTTTACTCTAATCTACATAATTCTGTAATGTTAACTCATATCCCCTCTCTCCTTTCAACAGTAGGTCATATAATATCTCCATTATTCCTTTAGCTCTAGTTCTTTGAGATATACCTAATTTTACCCCAATTATCCCCCAAAAAAATTCCCCCATTGTTTTGCTCTAGATACCCACTGTTTTTTTTCAACTTTAAGAACAATTCTTTTATCTTACTATGTACACCCCAAGATTTTTTTAAAAACCCAAACTTTATTTTTTTATTATTATTATAATCAAAAAAAGCGCTAAACAACTCAACTTTAAAAATTTTCACTTCTTGTTTTTTAGTAATTAAGTAGAGGGTTACTAAAGGCCCTTCGGGCATCTATCCCCCTTCAAAATGCATTGCTTCAGAGAAATTCCGGGCCCACTTTCCCCCATGAAACTGAAAGGGAAATATTACAAGGGCCCGCATTACAAAAAAAATTAAGACAAAAAACTTAATGAGTGTGCATACAAACAAGAAATTTTAACATTCAAAATGATTACGTATATGGAGGTGAGTTTATTTGCAATTTTTCCCTTGTCACATGCATGTTTACAAGCAAAAAAAAAAAAAAAAAACAATCCACCCATGTAAAAAAAATTAATAAGTGTTGTTTCAATCACATTCCCAGGTCTACTGACCCCTAAAGTTGAGGATTCCCATTTAAAAAAAAAAATAAAATTTCCAAAAAATGGACATAGTACCTCCCTGCCCGGTTGTGTCTATTTACCCTTAAGTTAACCTTCATACCATAATTTTTTGTTACAGGATTAGATGAATTATGAATGTTCCAGGAATTTAAAAAAAAAATTTTTTCCCCCCTTTCTTTAACAGGTTAATTTTCATTTTATACCCCTGTAATCATATATTTAACTAAATTGAGTAAATTTAACCAACAACAAAAACAGCCATGATGCATCAGGCACAGTGTCGGGCAAGAACAGCAAGTTTTTTAAAATTTAACTGTAAATCTTGGTGAAAAGGGTGGGGGTTTCAATAGTATAGTATGTATATTGTACTTATATTAAACAGTCAATATTTAATCACATTTGCATCATAACATTTATCTTTTTCCCCTGAAAAATATAATTTTTTCCCCAATAATTTCTATATTTACATTCTTTAACATTTATACACTAAAATTCTCTGAATTATCACAAGTTTTTAAATACTATACCCTATTTGTTTTGTTGACGTTTTATACTGGCTCTTGATGCTTTTTTGCTCAAGGGAAGTGTGTAAACTTTGCTGTCATCACTTATTAGGGGTTTGGACTCCCCCCATCCCATGGTACTCCTTCTTTTTGCATCTAGAAAGCCCTCCGCTGAGGCATGCTAGCGCTACTTGGGAAATCTGAAATTTTGCATTGACAACATTAATGAATGAATTATCAATATCTTTTATATCTATTTGTGGAGGTGTGTTTGTAATAGTGTACTTGCCTTAGTTGTCTAAATTATGAATTGAAACAGACAAGTTGGAAATTAATATATCAGTACTGTTTTAGGACAAAAAAAAAAAAAATACAAAATGAACTATGAGAAAGAAAACTCAATACAATGACCAAAGATTGAAGAGATTGAGGGAATTTTTAAGTGGCTGCTGGTTTGAAGGATTATCTTGATTTTTACAGGCATTACAATATCTTAACAAGTTATTGTTGAGCCATCCTTATATATTTAAATAATTTTCATGAAATATTACTCGGTATTAATACCTGGGAAAAAGATTGTGACTTGGGCCTTCTTTGTGGAGGGTCCACATTTTCCTGTGCCTGTTCTCGCTTGTATTGATTATAATTTAACTCAGCATTAGTAAACAATTGTGGAAGAAAAGGATTAGTGGTGGAGCAGAACTTTGCACTGTGGGAACTGTTGACTGTGTTTGCTAGAGGTTCAGGCTGCTTGTAGTGATCAGTCATGGATACTGATGCTAGTGGATTCAATCCTTCCCTAGAAACTATACTGGGCCCGGTAACCACATTTTGTATCTGCTGGGCTTCTTGATGTGGTTTATGGGCATGTGAAGTGATTAGGCTGTGGATGGTTGGGCACTCTGTGGAGTACTCCAGAAGCTGGTCAGAGAAAAGGGAAATGAATAAAAATATTTTACCCAAACTTATAAAATAAAAATTTAATATTATCTTGCACTCAAAGCCAATTACTGAAAGAATGTTAAAAGTCAACATGCACATGTAAGGCAAATATTTAGGTATAAAGCAATGCATTGTCATTACACATCATGTCAGATATTTTTAACTGTCCAAAAGTATGCTTTATCAACTTTAGTTTATAATAAAATATTTGTGAAACATTTAGGTAGTAGGTTGGTAAACAGCAACTGCCCAGGGAGGTACTACCATCCTGCCAAGCGAGTGTAAAACGAAAGCCTGTAATTGTTTTGCATGATGGTAGGATTGTTGGTGTCCTTTTTTCTGTCTCATAAACATGCAAGATTTCAGGTACGTCTTGCTACTTCTACTTACACTTAGGTCACACTACGCATACATATACAAGCATATATATACACCCGTCTGGGTTTTCTGCTATCTTCTTTCTAGCTCACGTTCTTGTTTATTTCCTCTTATCTCCATGGGGAAGTGGAACAGAATTCTTCCTCCGTAAGCCATGTGTGTTGTATGAGGCGACTAACATGCCGGGGGCAAGGGGCTAGTAACGCCTTCTCTTGTATAAATTACTAAATTTAAAAAGAGAAACTTTAGTTTTTCTTTTTGGGCCACCCTGCCTTGGTGGGATGCGGCCAGTTTGTTGAGAAAAATTTTTTTTTGTGAAACATGGCTGGTGAATGTTGCAACAAGGAGGAGGCTGGAGGTGGGGATGTCATGTCTGAGAGCAATGTGAGGTGTGAATGTAATGCAGAGAATTTGTAGTTTGAAAATTAGGAGGATGTGCAGGATTACCAAAACTATTATCCAGAGGGCTGAGGAGGGGTTGTTGAGGTTGGTTCAGACATGTAGAGAGGATGGAAGGAAATAGAATGACTTAGTGTACAAATCTGTAGTGGAGAGAAAGAGGGGTAGGGGTTGGCCTAGGAAAGGTTGGAGGGAGGGGGTAAACGAGGTTTTGTGTGTAAGGGGCTTGGAATTAAAGCAAGCACGTGTGAGCGTGTTAGATAGGAGCAAATGGAGACAAACGACTTTTAGGACTTGTGCTATTGGAGTGTGAGCAAGGTAACATTTATGAAGGGATTCAGGGAAACCAGCAGGCCGAACTTGAGTCCTGGAGATGGGAAGTACAGTGTCTGCACTCTGAAGGAGGGGTGTTAATATTCCAGTTTTATAACTAGTGTAAGCGCACCTCTGGCAAGACAGTGATGGGGTGAATGATGAAAGTTTTTCTTTTTCAGGCCACCCTGCATTGGTGGGAGATGGCCAATGTGTTAATAATAATAATTTGTAAATTTAAAAAAAACCTGAGGGAGGGAGTAATTGGAGGGAGGAGGTAAAGGTGGTGCTTAGACTTCCAGCAAGCGTGCATGAGCACGTTAGATAGGAGTGAATGGAGAGGAATGGTTTTTGGGACCTGATGAGCTGTTGGAGTGTGAGCAGGGTTAATATTTTGTGAAGGGATTCAGGGAAACTGGTTAGCCAGACTTGAGTCCTAGAAGTGGGAAGTACAATGCCTGGACTTTAAAGGAGGGGTTTGGGATATTGGCAGTTTGGAGGGACATCTAAACTGCCATATCTGAGCACCTCTGCATGGTATGAGATGGTATGAGTGATGGTGAAGTGTTGAGTGATGGTGAAGTGTTGAATGATGATGAAAGTTTTTTTCTTCCTTTTTGGGTTTTTCTTTCTTTTTTGGGTCACCCTGTCTAAGTGGAAAACGGCCAATGCGTTAAAAAGAAAAGTGAACTGCACCAAAAATCAGGATGATGCCTCAATCATTCACGATGAAAAACTTAGCAGTGGACCCACTATAATGTATTATTAAAGGTTTTCTTATTAGCCTTTTCTAACCTAGGCAGGGCATCCTAAGGTGAGAAAAACTTTCAATACTCTCCCTATGCTCAAAAATAACCCATGTGGAGACAAACTCATTAGATTAATTGCTTTGTATATTCTGACTCCCTGCTGGGGTCCTCTACCCAAGCACTGACAAGTGTTCATCACTTTTTCTTTAGATATTCTCCCTATATTTACAGAAGGGTACAAATATCATAATTCAGTGTTGCCCCATCAAACTAAAACTTACTCAACCTACTTTCAGAGTGCGGATGCTATTTTCTAAGCTTCCAAAAATCAAAGTCAAGTAGCATGTTTTCTTTGCTACAGTCACAGATATTACCATGGTTGTATTCTAAGTGCATGTAAGATATCAAACAATTTGCTCTCAATAATTACACTCTAACATTATTACATATATGTATTCCCTTGCTGAATGTCCAAGTCTTACATGTTTCAGTTATCCCAGATTCACGACATAAAGGCTCTTTACGACCAACCAATCAAATATTGGTGACAAATTTGTAAGGGTATGGAAAAAGAAGCGATTAAAATTACAGTGGTACCCCAAGTTTCGAACTTTCTTCATTCCAGAAGGCTGTTCAAGTGCCGATACTAGACGAATTTGTTCCTATAAGAAATAATGTCAATTAGGTTAGTCCGTTTCACACCCCCAAAGATACACATACAAAAGCACTTACAATAATAAACTTACATAATTGTTCAAGTTGGGAGCGGTTCGAAACTCGGGTACCACTGTATAACCAAACTGAGCGATAAACCCATGCTGTAAGTAAATGCAGAAAAAGAGAAAGATGATGACTGTAACAAAGTCTAAGCAGTGATAGATGAAATATCAAACTGGAAGTAGCATGGAGGAGGTGGATGTATTAAGATATTTTGTAAATGGATATGACAGAAGATGGGTCTATGAAAGATGAGGTGAACCACAGAATAGATGTGGGTAAAAAAATGGGTGGTGTGTTGAAGCATTTGTGGATAGAAAAATTTATCTTTGGAGGGTAAAAAGGGAATGTGGTACTAACACTTATATGGCTGTATGTCATGGTTTTTGAATGCTGCAGTGAGGAGGCGGCGAGGCAATGGAGAGGTCATGTTTGAGAGAAACTTGGGTATATATCATGCAGAGAATCTAAAGTATAGAAATTAAAAGGCAATTTGGGGTCAGCAATGGTATAATTCAGAGGGCTGAGGAGGGGCTACTGAGGTGGGTTAGGCTTGTAGAGGATAAAGAGGGAGAGGATGATGATAAAGGTGCATAAATCTGGGATGAAAGGTAAGGGAGGGAGGGGGTTAAAGGAGGCTTTGAGTTTTAGGGGCTTGAGCATTGAACAGGCTTGTGCGAGTATATTAGACAGGGATTAATAAAGATAGAGTTTTTAAATGGAAGTTCTGTTAGTGTGAGAGCAAGGTAACTTTTATAAAGGGATTTAAGGAAACCAGTTAGCTAGACTTGAGTCCTGGAGTTGGGAAGGGCAATGCCTGCACTCTGAAGGAGGGGTGGGGATGGTACAATCGAAGTGTTATCTGAAATATATCAGTACAATTCTAGCAAGATCATGACTGTATGAATGATGGTGAATGTGTTTCCTTCTTTGGATCAATCTGCCTTGGCAGGAAATTGCCACTGAGGTAAAAAACAAAGAACTATGTAAATATAGAATAAATAAATATCTGGATACGGTATGTATTTTTTTTAATACATCGGCCGTTTCCCACCAAGGCAGGGTGACCCAAAAAGAAAGAAAAAAAAACTTTCATCATCAGTCAACACTTTCACCATCATTCATACATAATTACTGTTTTTGCAGAGGTGCTCAGATACAACACTTTAGATAAATATAGAATATATAAATACAATACATATATGTAAACAAGTAAATGTAGAATAATAATACAGTATTTATTATAGCCTCATTTCAGACAGTAGGAATTGACACTGTGTTGGAAAGCAACTTGCTATATAGAGGATGGGTTTGTGTATGAATGTTTGGTTATGATGAGCAGTGAGTGTTGCTAGGTGAATACATGTACTGAACAGGGGCAGTATGTATCTGAAGATGAGCCTATTCATCTTGCCTATGCCCAGGACTGAATATGGGTTCTTCTGTTGTGAGCTAAACAAGCTACTACTACTAAGCTACCAGATACCTCAACAAGTCTGGAGTATATATGTTTCGCACTATGTAGTTGTGAGTAAATGAAAAACAAAAACATTAATATACAGTACAGTACTATAATCACAGATGTGGGCTATTTGTATTAGAAATGACTGTCACATATGAAGAAAAATTCAGAAAACACAGCAAAGATTGTCATACAAGTCTTAAAGTTATAACACTATAGGTGCATCTTTATGGTTAATATATTTAATTAGGAACCAAAAGTAACAAGAGATTGCAAAATCACCTTGAGTCTGGCAGCAAGTGCAGTATATTGTTCTTCCTGCACTACTGGATTGGTGCCCTCTGTGAAACTCTTACACTTGAGAAGTGCGGAGGAATTCTGCCAGTCGTCTGTACTTTCTCCACTTCGCAACAGAAGCTGCTGAACCAAGTCTGGTAAATCCACAGAGTTCTTGGATCGCTGCAGCTGGTGAAGGAGATCCATCACACGCTGCAGGCTTGGTTTATTCTTTTGATGCTCAGTCGGTTGTTTCTTGACATCTTGGCTGGGTGACTGTAGGCCAGTGGAGCAACAGTTAAGTCCAAAATGTGGCTGGTGATTGAAAAAAAGTTGTAATAAATGGAATGTAGGTTCTGGAATAATAAAAGATTTTAGATTATTCACTAAGCCTTTGGAAAATTGTGAAATGTCTAATAATGTGTAGAATAGTAATTCTGGAGAAACTGTACTCTAAATACATTTTGTAACTGGATTATATAGTGTGCACTTTGGACCATATATACATTCAACCAAGTGTACTCTTGACCAAGCATACTTAACCATGTACATGCTGGACCATGTACTCTCTACTTGACCATGACCATGTGCACTATAGTCTATGTATACACTCTGATTTATGTATAATTTGGACCTGTATGCACTGGATTATGTATACTCTGAAATGTGTATTATCCATATACTCTGGATCATGTATTCACTGGACTGTATACTCCAGACCATACATACTCTGCATCATGCATACTTTAGACCATGTATGATCTTGACAATATAATTGATAATGTATACTCTGGACCATGTATACCCAACAATTTCTATTCAAACATGTACAGAGGGTCATGTATTCTATGGACTATGTATACCAGACCAGGTATACTCAGGCATGCATAAGCTTGACCATGTAAATTTTGTGTCATGTATCATGCTGTTAAAAATCCTTCAAAACTAATGCAGTAGGTTATTGAGAGAGTAACCACCCAGGAAGATTATGCACTCCTGTAAAATTAGCATGAAACAGAAAGATGTTAATTGTTATGCAGGACTGCCAGTGTTTACTTTGCCTTGTCAACATGCAAAAATGACAGTATTCAGTATGCGTTTATATTTAATCTCCCGTTTCTGTCTCAGTACCATAGTTCTTATTCCTGTAACACTGCATTTCTTCCAGTTTATGAAACTTTGGCTAAGATTAGGTCTGGAGGCTGTGATCTCAATGGAAATAAGTCACTGACTTTTATGGATTATCCTAGGTAATTTACACACGTCACTAGGTATAATGCTTGTACTCATGTGTACCTCTACCTAAATAAACTTAATTTCTTACTTATTAATCCACATAATCATTAGAAGACCCTCACTCAAGTCTTCTAGTATCAGAAAGTTAATTTGTCCTAAAAAAAATGCAACACACAGACCAAATAATTCTGAGTAAGTAATAATATGGGTCTGCTTAGGATTTTCAAGCAAACTACTCTGCATTAACTGTCAGTGGAGAAAGTCTAGTAGCACACACTTGCTTGGAATAAATATTAATTACCATGCAGTCCTATGCTCCTTATGTATGTCAAGTACGTATTAACCCTTTCAGGGTCCAAGGCCCAAATCTGGAGTCACGCACCAGTGTCCAAGAATTTTCAAAAAAAAAATTTGTTATTTTTTCTTATGAAATCGTAGAGAATCTTTTTGTGAAGGTAATAAAACAAAAAGTACGAAATTTGGTGGAAAATTGACGAAATTATGCTCTCGCGAATTTTGATGTGTCAGCGATATTTACGAATCGGCGATTTTGCCGACTTTGACTCCCATTTTAGGCCAATTACATTATTCCAATCAACCAAATTCTTAGCTATTTCACTAGTATTACTTCTATTCTATCGATTGAGCACAAGAAATCGCCAAGTCAACTGTTTCAACTACAAAATAAAGTGATCGGAAATTGTTAATTTGGCCAATTTAACACAAAGTTCAAAATATTCCAATTTCAAAATAGGGTCCAGAATAAACAATGTAGGCATTCCTGGCACTAAACTAACATTTCCTCTGTTCATTAGTCATGTTTTGAGGCTTTACAAATAAATTCCATTTTGATTTTTTATTCACATAATGAATTTTTATTCACACCAAAAAATAGAAGATTTACTGCTATGCAATACTGTAATAATTGTATAAATATCATCACCATATTTGTGAATGTATATTAGACCCACCAGCTGACGTGTATTAGACGTGTGAGGTCGTTTGTTTACTCTTGAATATCGGCAAAAATTTAACATTTCCGCTACTTTGAGCTCAGTTTCAAGCCATTTCCAGTGCTAAAACCAATCAAAATCATCTCTATTTCTGTAATATGTCTTTCATTCTATCAAATGAGACCAAGAAATCGCAAATACAACTATAAAAAACATACGAAAAAACACTGCAAAGTTGCTGTTTTAATCAAAAAATCATGATTTCAGTTTTTTTCTCTCATTATACAAAGTGTGCTGCAGGATCTGTTTTATGTGGTGCACACATACCACATAGATGTATTCTCTCATATCTAGGCCCAAATGTACCACTCACAGTTTATCAGAGTGAGCTGAGCTCATGGCATAGATCTACGGTTTGGACGCTCACCATAAAGCCGTAGATCTACGGGACGGACCCTGAAAGGGTTAATCTCATGGCCCTTCTGTTGGGTGTAAGCAACTGTAGATCATTTGCATACATAAACACGATTGAAAATTAGTTGCTAAACCGGTAACCAACCCATATGCCTAAATTCTTAATGTGGGCCCCAAGTATACAAGAAAAAATGGGATTTAAAACTGCTTAGTTTGATGCCATTAAACATTGTATACTATACTGTGAAGGTTGTAACCTGCACATTTTGGTCTGTCCTGCACAATTTTAAGTTAATACCAGAGTGGACTGAAATGTTATAAGGTTCCTCTTGTAAGTGTGGGTTACCTGTGAAGTGTTTCAGTCACTGTATTGTGATTTTTTAGTCTCTGAGGGATGTATATCTGTAGTGACAGCAGTAATGTATATACACCAAGCTCATAGTGCTGTATGACTTATGGGTTTAGTGTTTCTTCTTAACCCTTTGACTGTCGAAGGGCCCAATCCTGAAGTTGCTCCTGGTGTCGCAAAATATTCGAAAAAAAAAAAAATTATTTTTTCTTATGAAATGATAGAGAATCTTTCCCCGATTGTAAAGACACCAAAAAAACGAAATTTGATGGAAAACTGACGGAATTACGCTCTTGCGAAGTTAGCGACTTCGGCGATATTTAAAAATCGGCAATTTCGCCCACTTTGAGCCCTATTTTCGGCTAATTCCGTTATTCCAGTCAACCAAACTCATAACTATTTCTTCAGAACTCTATTTTTTCTATCGATTGAGCACAAGAAACTGCCCATTTACCGATTTCAACTACCCAATAACATGGTCAGAAATTTGCAATTTGGCCAATTTCACGAAAATTAAAAAATACGACAATTTCAAAATAAGGTCCAGAATGAACAATGCAGACATTCCTGGCTCTAAAATAAGATTTTCTTTGTTTCATCAGTCATGTCTCCAGGTCCCTGTGATATTACTCTTGCTTTTTATTTTGAAATTTTATTCAAACAAAAAATAGAAGATTTACTGTTATGCAGACTACTGCAATACTGTAATAATTGTAAAAATTACATCAACCCATTCATGACTGCGTATTAGAATGGCTATTTGGACATTTATTGGACAATGACATCATTTGTTTACTTTTGAACATCGGCAAAAATCAAACATTTCCTGTACTTTGTGCTCCATTTCCAGGTTCTTTTTATGGTAAAATTAATCAAAATCACCTCCATTTCTATAATATAGTTTCCATTCTATCAAATGAGACCATGAAAAACGAGAATACAACCACAAATACTATACGAAAAAGACCACAAAGTCGGCATTTTAATTAAAAAAAACGGTCGGAGTTTTTTTTTTCTCATTATGCACTGCGTGCTCCAGGATTTTTTTTATGTGGTGCACACTGACCACACAGACCCATTCTCTCACATGTGGGCCTTCTAGCTTTCTCCTGCCTGATTTGAAGCCGCTAGAATTTATGAGTATATATACGTCAAACACGGTACCTTACAAACGTATATATACGGCCGCGACAGTCAAAGGGTTAATAATAATAATTAGCAACTTCATTAGTCGAAGAGAAGTATTCTGAATTTCCATGATTCCAATGAGAAAAATAATGATTAAGATTGATAGAAATGGAATTTTGCTAATTAATTAAAACAGTAATACCTACTGTACATATTATATAAAATACTAGAGCTCTAAATTATTATGAAGTGAACCTTGATAAGGAAGAAGAGAGGCTAAAAACTTACTTTACTATCATTTGCAGCCATTTCACCAAATCTCCCCTTCACCACACTTGCTTGCAAATCACCATTTCTTACACTTTCAACTTGGCCTGAGGAAGATCGTTCAGAGTAACTTGGCTGGTAGGGGGCTTGCACCGAATCTTTAGTGGGTCCTTGATAGGCCGATGTCTTGCGGCTTCTGGATTGTTGTGGACTGGTGGAGACATGGAAGTAAATGAATAAGTATGTTATTTTATTTAGGCACAGGTACACATAAGTACAATCATCATACATAGTGTAAATTACCTTGGATAACCCCAAAAAAGTCAGATAAAGTGACTTATTTCCACTGGGGTCTTGGACTAGAGAATTATATATTTTACCTGGAGAGGCAAGCATGTACAGAAATATTTAAGGCTAGGTTTCATTTGTGGTTTTTAAAATTATTTGGACTGATTTATAAAGACTGTCTGAAGGCTTCAGGAAAAGATAATTTTGAAATAAGGTCAGCTTATGGGGTGAGAGGATAAACATTGTTAGTATCAGCTAGATTAACTCTTTTGCTCTTTAATCTGTCTGAGAGGAAGTGGCCAGGTTTATTAAAGTACTGGAGAAGACAAGTGGAGCAGGAGAAAGAGTAAACATCCAGAATATTAGCCACAGGAATAGTAGCAGCAAGTTTAATTTATAAAGGGCAAAGGATGTTATTAATATTCTGTACAGAGCTGTATATCAGGAACAAGAAAAGGCAAAATACGCACAAGTGTCTTCATTGGATATGAGGGTGATTTAAGAAAGAAGTCTTTGAACTTGAAAGGCAGGCCCCATTTATAACACTAGGAACATTACCGAGATTAAAAAATGAAATGAAAATAGGAAAAATTTCAGTCAAGAAACTGAGTATCACATGCAAAGGTCATGATGGATTTTTTTTTTTTTTTTACAAATTGTAAAGGCTAGCAACAATGAATTTACAGTACATGCCAGTGTGCATAAGCCTTTGTAAAGGGAAAAGGGAAAGCCAGTCATACAGCACTGGACCTATACCTGGAGGTTACCTGGAGGTTATTCCGGGAATCAACGCCCCCGCAGCCCGGTCCATGACCAGGCCTCCCGATGGATAAGTCAAGGTCCCTCAAGGGAGGTGCCTTGAGGCTGCTGAGGGCTCTTGATCCAAGAAACTGAACTTATCTTCCCTTTTGGATTAAACCTGAATGCCTCCCATTCCCAAGGTACTATATGACCCTAATGCATCTTGCACTTCTCCCTTGTTAAAAAACATTGAACCTCAAGGAAAGAAAGTTGGGGGTTGGATTACATTTCAGCCTTAAACTTGATACAGCGACCAAGCTTGTTAAGAGCAAAAGGAAAAGGTTGAAGAGACTACTCATAAGCCCAGAGAGTGGAGACATCATCTATATAGTACAGTCATAGACAAAGGCATACACTAATAATGAGGAAAAACATACTCCATATAAAGATCAGCAAATGCATGAAACAGAGGAGAGTCCATGATAACACCAATTGTATGAGACCTGAACTATATTTACAATAAAAGTAAAGAATGTGAAACTGTAGCAAGAGCCCAAAAAGTGGTGACAAAAAGACTCAGGAAAACATAGAACTTTTATTTTTTGAAATACACTTTTCATTCACATATAGGGAACTTTCTCAAATGAAATTAAGGAAATAAGGCCATGCAAGTATATATAGTAGGGAGAAGGGTATTGCATCAGGTAAAGGTGGAGAAGTGGGTGGGTGCATTCAAGCACTACCTGGGTACAGTGATTTAAGAACTAAGTGTGTTAGTTTGATGTTTCTTCCTATTCTTGAATATGATGTGGGCAGAAGGCACCTCCACCTTCACCTGATGCACAACCTTCTTCCCTGCTGTATACTGTACATGAGAATGTCTTTGATTTTCTAGATTCACCTGAGAAAGTTCACTACATGTGAAAGAAACATCAAATATCTCTAATAATAAAGATTCTTTTGTTTACTAGTGTTTTTATTACCAAAATAAAAGAAGTTCAAATTAACACAAAGATGAATAAGATCAAGAAAACAAAACAGAAATGTGTACATAGGGTATGGATGATACACATCCTGCTTCTCTCTCTCTCTTCTCTACACCTGTGTTCAGGAAGATAGAAAGCTTTGGTTCTGCATGTTAGTTTTCCCAATAACAATGTTAACAGAGAGTGAGCATACAGCAAGCCCTTGATTTAATCGATTACAGTAGAGGGGAGAGCAGGTGGACAGTAACTGTGACTGGACAATTCTGTAACCAATGTACTTAGTCTGTTGATTATGAATCAAATAACCCAGCAGATTTTGTCCTGTATTTCCAAAGTCTGTTAAATCAAGGGGTAACTGAAATATACTTAAATTTTTCCTCTAAACAAAGAAAAATGATAAATTTCTAACTACATTTTCAAGTGTGACTCCAGAAGTTTTATAGAGGAGGGGCTGAGGGGTGGCAATCTGGTTGGAAGAGGGGGAGCTAGGGAACTTGTCTTGAAGCATTGTTATATTTGTTAATTACAGCCTCTCCTCACTTAGTGATGTACTCGTTTACCGATGCCTCAGACTTACAATGGGCTCTCTGACCAGTATTCATACCTAAATAATGTATATTAGAGCTGATTTCCTCTATTTTGTTTATTTCAATATACAGTGGACCCCCGCATAACGATATTAATCCGTTCCTGAGAGCTCATTGTTATGCGAAATTATCGTTATGCGAATGAATTTTCCCCATAAGAAATAATGGAAATCAAATTAATCCGTGCAAGACACCCCAAAGTATGAAAAAAAAATTTTACCACATGAAATATTAATTTTAATACACACAAACTGAAAAAGGCATGCACAGTTACATGACACTTACCTTTATTGAAGATCTGGTGATGATTGATGGGATGGGAGGAGGAGAGAGTCTTAGTGTTTAGAAGGGGAATCCCCCTTTCCCTTAAGACTTGAGGTGTCAAGTCCTTTTTTTGGGGTTACTTCCCTTCTTCTTTAATGCCACTAGGACCAGCTTCAGAGTCACTGGGGCTTCTGTCACACAACATATCTGTTCATAGTGGCCTGTACCTCTCGTTCCTTTATGACTTCCCTAAAGTGTTTCACAACATTGTCAGTGTAATAGTCACCAGCACGGCTTGTAATAGCTGTGTGAGGGTGATTTTCATCCAAAAGGTTTGCACTTTCAGCCACATTGCACAGATTTCCTTAATTTTTGTAGTAGGCAACTTCTTCAATTTCTCTCTCCCCTCCTCCGAACCAGTTTCCTCAGGTCTGGCCTCTTGCTGTTGAAGTTGATCAGCAGCCATCAGTGGTTAGTTCTTCATTGTCCTCCTCCACCAATTCTTCCACATCATCCCCACTAACCTCCAACCCCAAGGACTTTCCCAATGCCACAATGGATTCCTCAACTGGCATACTCCTCTCAGGGTTAGCCTGAAACCCTTCAAAATCCCTTTGGTCTACACATTCTGGCCACAGTTTCTTCCAAGCAGAGTTCAAGGTCCTCTTAGTCACTCCCTCCCAAGCCTACCTATAAGGTTTACACAATTGAGGATATTAAAGTGCTCTCCCCCAAAACTCTCTTAGAGTCAGTTGAGTTTCTGAGGTCACTACAAACCCACCTTTTAAAACAGAGTTTTTGTGTACAGTTTTTTTGAAGTTTGCAATAACCTGCTGGTCCAGGGGCTGCAGGAGAGGAGTGGTACTAGGAGGCAAAAAACTTCACCTTAAGAACCTCATGTCCCCATAAAGTCGCTCTGCCACGTCTGTGGGATACCAGGGGCATTGTCTAACACCTGGAGGCACTTAAGGTCTAATTTCTTTTCAGTTAGGAATCTTTCACATTGGGGGCAAATGCAGGTGTAACCGTCATAAAAAAAGCCCCTAGTGACCCATGCCTTACTGTTTGCCCTCCACAGCACACACAAATTAGCCTTGAGGATATTCTTTTGCCTGAACGCTCTGGGAGTTTCTGATGATACCCTAATAAAGGCTTCACTTTGCAATCACCACTAGCATTGGAACACATCAACAAATAAGCCTGTCTTTCATAGGCTTATGTCCTGGGAGTGCCTTTTCCTCCCGAGTAATGTAGGGCCTGCTTGGCATTTTCTTCCAAAACAGGCCTGTTTTTATCACAATTAAACACTTGTTCAGGTTTCAGTCCTTCACTGTCTATGTACCCTTGAATTCCTGCACATATTTTTCAGCTGCTTTGTGGTCCGAACTGGCAGCCTCACCATGCCTTATCACACTAAAGTATGCCACTACGCTTCTTTAAAACTCTCAAACCAACCTTTGCTGGCCTTAAATTCACTCACATCATCACTATTGCAGGCATTTTTTAATTAAATCCTCATGCAACTTCCTAGCCTTTTCACTTATGATCACTTGAGAGATGCTAAACTCCTGCTATCTGTTTTTTTATTTATCCATACCAATAAGAGTCTCTCAACATCTTCCATCACTTGCGATCTCTGTTTCGAAAACACAGTTGAACCTTTGGGAAGAACAGCTTCCTTGATTGCCGTTTTGTGCCCACAATAGTAGCGATGGGTTTAATTGGGGGTTTATTATACAACCTGGCCAGCTCGGAGACATGCACTCCACTTTTCCCTACTTATCAATGATCCTCTTTCTTTATCTCTATAGTAATTCTCACCCCTTTTTGCTGTAAGGGTTGGCACTAGAAGCTTTCTTGGGGCCCATGGTCACTTATTTTGCAGATAAAATCACCAAAAACACTGTAATAATACGAAATGTTCCGATTGTATGCTTGGATGTTACCACGGAGGTTGGCTGGTAAACAATGCCACTGGCGGAACATGTGAGGCTGGCTCAGGCTGCACATTAGACGTGTCTCGGACGAACAGCGTTGAGCGGGTTTTTTGGCGGTATGCGAGGCAAAATCTTAGCGATAAAATGTATCGGTATGCGGATTTAACGTTATGTAAGGCCAACGGTATGCGGGGGTCCACTGTACAGTACATTACTGTAAACATTTACAAATAAACCAGAAATGTTATAAATGGTGCAAGGGTGACATTAAAACAACATCAGAGATGGTTGACACAAACTCGCTACCACTGTAGTATGCTCCTCACTTAGTGACGAATTCGTTTACCGACGTGGTCTCAGGAACATAACTCCGTCGTTAAGTGAGGAGACGCTGTATTTGTTTATAAT